GCATGGTGGAGATACAAAGTTGGATGAGAAGAAAAGATGAAGAGGAAGCTGGGCGAGGAGAACCATCATCATCCAGGAACATGAGAAATCAAGGGAGTGAAAACCAAAACGGGATCAATGGATCTGGAAGCTCAGGACAGAATTAGAGTGAGGTGGGAGGACGTAAACTGGAGTTACCTATTTTTATGGGTGAAGATCCGTATGGGTGGATTTTCAGAATTGAGAGGTACTTCAGCCTAAATGGAATTCCAGATGAAGGGAAACTCACAGCTGCAGCAGTTTGTATGGAAGGGGAGGCCATTAACTGGTATCAGTGGATGGAGGTCAGAGCTCCAGTTAACTCGTGGCCATTGTTCAAACTCGCCTTAATTCAGAGATTCAGCGGATCCCAAGAAAGTAGCCCTTACGAGACTCTCATGGCCATGAAACAAACCAGTACAGTGGCAGATTTTAGACGCAGGTTTGAAGCGGTTGCTGCTTTGTTGGTGGAAGAGAAGGAAGAAATTTTGAGTGCTGCATTTTTGAATGGACTCAGGGCAGAGATTCGGGCCGAATTAAGATTGATCCAGCCCAACACACTTCTTCAAACCATAGAGAGAGCCCATAGAGTGGAGGAACGCAACTGGGCTTTAGAGGAGGCAAAAAATAGCCCTGCAAGAACCAATAGGTGGAATGGGCCTGGTCCTCATGCTGGGTCTAATAATTTTGGATCCAGATATTTTAACCCAAACTTTAACCCGACTTCAACCCGACCCGATTCACTCAAATCCCCAAATGCAAATGAATCCCTAAGATCAAATACATTTTCAAATTCCTTCTCCAGCGTGGGATGACGAAACGTGGAGAGTAACACAGTGGGTTCATCGACCCATCCTTCCCCTCGCGAACAAGCATCTATGACCTTCAGGTCCTTCGACAGAGCTCAACCACCACGACGAGATTTTCCTTTTAGAAAGATGACAGAGGCCGAAATACAACGAAAAAGAGAAAAGGGCTTGTGTTTTAAGTGTGATGGGAAGTATTTCTTTGGTCATAAGTGTGGTGAGAAGCAATTTCAGGTAATTTTAGTTGACGAGGAAGAAGAAGATCCGGGTCCAGGTGACGTAGAAAGTAGTGAAGCAACGATGGAAGAACAAGGTCAAGGTAATGTGGAACTTTCTTTGAGTTCAGTTGTGGGAATCAATGGCCCAAAAACGATGAAGTTGAAGGGAAGTATTATGGGTCAGGAGGTGATTATCTTGATTGACAGTGGGGCTTCCCACAATTTCATTAGTAAAGAGATAGTGGACAAGTTGGGTATTACGGTGACACAAACACAGTCATTTGGAGTACGTGTGGGAGATGGTTATAAGGTACGAAGTGAGGGAGAGTGTAAAGCAGTCTGCTTAGAGGTCCAGGAGGTAAGGATAATTCAAGATTTTTTTCCTTTTGACATGAGTAGTGCAGACGTTGTCCTTGGTATGGCTTGGTTAGAAACATTGGGTGAGACTACAATGGATTGGAGGAAACAGGTAATGAAGTTTCAGCTTGATAATGAAATGGTCACTCTTATAGGTGACCCGGCACTTAGTAAAACCATGATCTCCTTGAAAGCAATGATCAGAACACTTAAGAGTGAAGGAACTGGTTATCTGGTCGAATTTGGGCAATTACAAACACAATTGGATGAAGAAGCTATTGTCAGTAGTAGCCTGTTGCCAGTGTTATCACAATTCCAGTTTGTCTTTGAGCCATTACCAGGATTACCACCGTGTAGACCTCAGGATCATGCCATTCACTTAAATCCTGATGCCCAAACCCCAAACCTTCGCCCTTATAGGTATCCCTATTACCAGAAAAATGAGATTGAGAAAATCATTAGTGAGATGTTAGCTTCGGGGATCATCAAGCCAAGTATCAGCCCTTTTTCCAGTCCGGTTCTGCTGGTTAAGAAGAAGGATGGTGGGTGGCTGTTTTGTGTTGATTACAGGGCACTCAACAAAGTAACAATCCCAGACAAGTTTCCCATCCCCGCCATCGATGAGTTATTCGACGAACTTGGCGGTGCCAAAATATTCTCCAAGCTGGATTTAAAGTCCGGGTACCACCAAATCAGAGTCCGATCAGAGGATACCCACAAGACGGCTTTCCGAACTCACGAAGGGCACTACGAATTCCTCGTTATGCCATTCGGATTGACCAATGCCCCATCCACATTCCAAGCCTTGATGAACGAGGTTTTCCGGCCTTACCTTCGGAAGTTTATCCTGGTCTTCTTTGATGATATTTTGGTGTACAGCAAAACAATGGCCGACCACATGCAGCATCTCAGTCTCACGTTTCAGACATTGCTTAAACATCAGTTAGTAGCCAACCGAAAGAAGTGTTTCTTCGGACAACCCCAATTAGAATATTTGGGCCATTTTATTTCGGCACAGGGGTTGGCTGTGGATCCATCAAAAATTGAAAGTATTGTCAACTGGCCCCGTCCGAAGGATTTGAAAACACTCAGAGGATTCCTCGGTCTAACAGGGTATTACAGACGCTTTGTAAAAGGGTATGGTAAGATCGCACTTCCTTTGACTAATTTGTTGCGAAAGGATTCTTTCATGTGGGGTGAGCAACCTTAGGAAGCATTTGAGGCATTGAAATCTGCCCTGACCAGTGTACCGGTGTTAGTAATGCCTGATTTCTCTAAATCCTTTCTCATTGAAACTGATGCGTCAGGTTGTGGTTTGGGTGCTGTTTTAATGCAGGACGGAAGGCCTCTTGCTTTTCTCAGTGAAGGCCTATCAGCAAATTCGAAACTCAAGTCGGTCTATGAAAGAGAAATGATGGCTATAGTGATGGCGATACAAAAATGGAGACATTATCTGCTGGGCCGACGTTTTATCATCCGAACTGACCAGAAAAGCCTCCATTTTCTGACTGAACAACGGTTGCTGAATGAAGAGCAACAGAAATGGGTGTCAAAATTACTTGGGTTGCAATTTGAAATACAATACCGCCCAGGACCAGAGAACAAGGCAGCGGATGCATTATCCTGGCGCCCCGAGAATGTGGAGAATAATGCAATATCAATGGGCTGTTTCGGCGGGTTCGAAGAATTGGAAGAGGCCATCCAACAGGATGATAAGTTGCGGCAGCTCACCCAGCAGCTCATGGTTAATCCTCATGGCCACCCTCATTTCAAACTCAGGGGCAGACACCTTATGTACCAAAACAGGTTGGTTGTTCTGAAACATGGCCCTCATATTCAAAAACTTCTGCATGAATTTCACTCATCCCCGATAGGAGGCCACTCTGGATTTTACAGAACATACAAGCGCCTGATGAATGTGTTTTATTGGGATGGAATGAAGCGGGACATCCAAAATTATGTGAACTCTTGTAGTGTGTGTCAACAAAGCAAATACGAAGCATTGCGGCCTGCTTGTCTTTTGCAGCCCCTTCCTATTCCAATTCAGGTTTGGGAAGATATTTCCATGGATTTTATATTGGGGCTTCCGAGGGCATACAATGTGGATACTATCTTGGTGGTCGTTGATAGACTCACTAAATATAGCCATTTTCTCACACTCAAACATCCGTATACAGCCAAGGAGGTAGCGGTCGCATTCATCAAAGAGGTAGTACGACTTCACGGCTTTCCAAGGACGATTATTTCGGATCGAGATCGCGTTTTCATGAGCCATTTTTGGGGAGAACTATTTAAGCAGGCTGGCACTAAGCTCCATATGAGCTCTGCCTATCACCCGCAGACAGATGGTCAAACGGAGGTTGTTAACAGATGTTTAGAAACTTACCTTCGTTGTTTTGTAGGAAATCAGCCTCGGCAGTGGCCTCACTGGATTCCGTGGGCTGAATTCTGGTTTAATACTACTTACAGCAACTCCACGGGTATGAGTCCTTTTAAGGCCGTGTACGGACGAGACCCTCCAACATTGTTAAAATACGCAGACCACAGCTCTCCGGTTGAGGCAGTCAATCAGCAGATTCAGACTTGCAACGATATTCTCTTGGAGCTTAAGGAGAATTTGTGTAAGGCTCAAAACCGCATGAAAAGTTCGGCCGATGCAAAGAGACGGGATGTTCAGTTTGAAGTCGACGAATCTGCATACCTTAAGTTACAACCCTACCGTCTGCAATCACTTGCCGCCCGCTGCAATGAAAAGATAAGTCCCCGGTTTTATGGGCCGTTCCGCATCTTAGAGAAAATCGGATCAGCCGCCTACAGGTTAGAACTCCCAGCTAGTGCTCGCATTCACAATGTCTTTCATGTGTCCCAACTCAAGAAAGCCAACTTTCCTCCGCCAAACAGTCAGCCTCTTCCCGACTCCTTAACTGAGGACCTGGTTTTAGTTGTTGAACCAGAAGACGTACTGCAAATGCGCAAGCTAATCAATGGTCAAAGGGAAGTTCTGATTAAGTGGAAAGGGTTACCCCACCATGATAATACTTGGTAAGAATATGACGGTCTAAATTCCCAATTCCCTTCCTTCCACCTTGAGGACAAGGTGGCTCTTCTTCTGGAAGGTATTGATACAACACGTGAAGTGAAGGTTTATAAGAAGAAACGTGGGATGAAGCACCAGGGAATCAATTGTGATAAAGGGAGCAGCTAAAGTGTGACGAGAAGCAAAAAGGTAGAATAAACAGGTGGCGACAGATGAGTGGCTAAGAAGGAAATTCTGTTAGGAAGGGAGTGAATAAAAGGGAGTAGCAGAGGTTAAAAAGGAGAAAAGAAAGTAGAGAAAAAGGGGAGGAAGCTGGCCCTCGAAGTCCAGCGTAGCAGTTCCATTTATTTTCTTTGTTGTTTGTTAATTACATTCTGGTGTTGAGAAGTGTCCATTCATGGATGTACCTCTAACTTTACCAGGAAATACATATTTGAAGTTTTGAATGTTTATGTTGTTTATACTTAATGGTTGAATATTTGAATGCTGTGAAATTGTGGATGACTGAACCAGTACAATAGAGTAGGTTTGCATCAATTTGGTATCAGAGCACCCGTGTGGGTAATGGTAGCAACGAGAATTGATTCGAGACTAGAAAATATGGAAAAAGAAGTGACGAAATTGGGGGTTGACATGGGAACAATTCGTGAGTGCATGGTGGAGATACAAAGTTGGATGAGAAGAAAAGATGAAGAGGAAGCTGGGCGAGGAGAACCATCATCATCCAGGAACATGAGAATTAATGGTTCTGATGGGTGAACTTTTATTTGCACTGATTTTTCTTTTTGACCCTTACTTTTTAAGAAAGAAAAAAAAAATCTGATAATAATCATTCGTGGTGTCACATAGTCAAACACACCGGGCTTAATTTGTTAGGGTCATCATAATTGTCTGCACACGCCTAATTCGTTTTACTCATTTCTTTCAGTGTTGAGGTTGAACCTTGTCATATCCAATTGATGCCTTTACCATAGGGCTATAACACTGATAGCCTTTTGCATGATTTAGTTCTTATAAAACACTGGCAAAGCTTTCTATTCTGTCATGTAATAGAAAGCCTTGTCACTGTTTGAACTGTATTAGATATCTTTAAGTCTAGTGAGCCTTAGAGAGAATACTAGAGATTAAAAGAATTGATGAGATTTTTTAGCTTTTAAAATTGTCAGTTCTCCAATTATTGTACCTCTCTCTTTCTCATTTTCTTATTCTCTCATGAATGACAATGAACTAAAATGGAGCTGACTTTCAACTTGCCTTTGATTGTAGCCAACGCATTATTGGTGCAGTTAATGGGGCTTTAGTATTGGAATCATCATGTCGTTCACAGCTCTTGTGGTAATTCATTTATTTCATAATTTTGAATGTCATCTCTTTTTCAACAATTGTATTAAAAAAATTCAAATTGTAAAATTAATCCTTTTTCAATAATCTATTTTCTGTCATGCTAAATAAAAGAAGCTCTTTTCTATCACCATTTATATGATGATTTCTGGTGAAAGTTAATTTTTCTCCGCATATAGGGACATTAAATTTTCTCTCTTAGGTAGTTGCCTCTGGAGACCTGCAATGGGATGCACTACTGAAAGTTAATTTTGAAGCTGTTCCTATGAGTATACCCATAATTGCACTTTCATTTGTTTACCAGGTAACATTAGTACATCACCAACCTTCAGTTATTTAATATTAAAAATTTTCGTATTATAAATATATTGTATCTGCTTTATTCAGAACGTTGTACCTGTCCTTTGTACAAATCTTGAAGGAGACCTGTCAAAAGTAAGGTAGATATTTGGATATATAAATTCATAATTTTCTACTTCATTACTTATGACGTATTGCTCATTGTCATCATACTTTTGCTTGGTAAACAGTACTTTTTGATAAGCAAGTCAAAATATCAATATATGGATTTTTTTTTTTTTTAATTAATTGAATGTTCTTATTATCATCATAAAATGACTAGACTAGACAAATTAAGAAAAGAGTAATGGCATACATACAACATTGTCATACAATATTTTTCATACAATATAATATGACAAAAGATGATTAGGTGAACATGTATTTTTAATTTAAAATCAACCAATTATCTTTTATTATATCATGTTGTATAAAAATATTAAATGTGTAGTATTATCCCTAAGAAAGTAGTTAACTAATTATTTATTCAAAGCTTTTACCTAGATCGGAAGCATCACCTTTTTATGAAGATAACATGTTTCTTGTTTTGCTTTCCAATTATATTGCAATCTAGGTGTTACCAAATATAGTAAAATTTGTTAAAATGTCCACATTTTAGAAATAACCTATCCAAAATTCTTTTGCATGATCTAGTCTTTGAGAAATCCACTGAACAAAAGACCCTTTTTTGGCACCATCTTCACCACTCGGGAGCAGAAAATCCTGGAGAGAAAACCCAGAGAGATTGAGAATAAAATCATACTGTATTTTAATCTGACATTTCAAGATAAATGTAGAAGATCTGAAAAATAGTTTGAAGTTCATTGTGCTTAACACGACTCTCAAGTGTCGTCATGCACTGCAGCATGATGATCGAGTGCCTTCCCACACAGCCTTTGAGCACCATATGTGTTGTCAAGCGACTGTTGCACCGCTGTTGAGCATGACATGTGATTGAATTGTTTTAATTGACATATAATAGGTATTTTTGTCAGACTATGTAAAAGCTGGCTAGGTTATGGAAAAATTTCTGAGATTCCTTTTGCCCAAAAAATCCCTCTAATTGTGATCATGTACACTGTTTTCCCTTCAATATGTGATGAATCTAGATAAAAAATGCCTAGTTTTGTCCTTCTATATTCCTTGCCTTAACCTTATCAGAATTGAGGGACAGACTTAATTAAACAGCCACGTCTGTGGTTTCGAGGGAAAATTAAATATGAATAAGAAGTAATTGCATAATGTATGAAAGATAATTTAGCGTCAAACTGAAATATCATTGATCAACCCAACTTTAAAGAAAATGAGGCTAATCATGTACAGTGAAATCATTTGATTGTTTCCAGTGACCTTCAATTGGAACGGATTTAAATAACAAATTAGAGAAGAGGGAAAAAAACTTTCAACTGAATGAATTCTTCTTGAAAATCCACATGATTAAATTAACTTGAACTTGTATAATCAGCAGTTTTTCACATGTAAGATTGAATTAAAAAATAAATAAATAAATAATAACTATATTACAGTGTACTCAAATGTTAATTCTGCTTCAGAACAAATTCTGGTCAGCATAGGTGAGTTCAACTTGATCTCTCACTGCTATATTGTTTATCATTTTTTATTTCGTTTGCATAGCTTTTACTAGTACTCTAGGGCACTTGGCTTAGTGGCCAGCTGTGGAAAAGGATCTTGTAAGTTCTGAATTATAGTAAATTTTTTGAAGCCTGGCCAACATCTTTTTATGCACATAGAAGAACTGGAAGCTATCCTCCTACTGCCTTGAGTTTAGCACTTGATACCATTGATCATATGACACTAACATGTAAAAGTCATGAAAGGGTGTACACTAAAAGAGGAACTTAACTTTGCCCTGCTGGCTGTCTGTTGTCTGTTGGCAATTTGAGTTTATGCTTTTAATAAAAATGATTCTGATTTGCAAGATTTTATATTGCCTGCCAAAAACATTGTATTTTATATATATCACCACCCATCCAATTATTTTCTTTCTTTTATTTTTCCTGTTTCTTACTGTCTCTTTTTATTCCAGGACTGCAATTGTATTAGGCACAGCTATACACCTTGGTTTATTTCTTGTCTGGAATGCTGCTATTCTATGATCTATTACAGGTCTTGAGACGGCCTTGGGCAAGGTCATTGACCCATTACAACAATTGCGATCCTCCAATGGAATTGTTGGAGTAAGTTTCCAGTAACAAGTTCTTAGATATTAACCGAACTTAAAAATGACAAATAAAGGGGATTTTACCGTGATGACATTTTTTTTTTAATAATTTGCAGACTATAGTTGAGGTTTTTTCGGTTCTTGCAATTGCAACATCTTACATTGGATTTGTTCTGGGCCTGGCTGACTTCCTTGCTGACTGTGAGTGGCCCTCCTTTCTGTCAAACTAGATCTTATTGTTTTGGGTTTTTTTCTTCCGCTTATGTTTTCTGTCCTTCTCGCAACATCATAGCTCATTTATACTAGGAAATTAATGAGAAGGGAAGCAACTTTCTGCATTCTCTGTACAATTTTAAGTCTTTCATTTGATAATTTGCTTTATTTTGTCGTATTAAGGTCAGTTTTATTTTGTCGTATTGATAAGTGTGTTCAAGTTTTAACCTGTCCCAACATTTTGGATTTCAAACATGTTGAAAATTAAAATTGGATTTATTATCACTGTATGAAGTTAGAGAATTCAATAAGTTTAGCTATTATTGATAATATAAGGAAGCTATTGTAAGTTTTCATTGATCCTTCCGTTTTCTCAATCTTTCTCTTATCTCAAACCTAAGCTTAACATGATATTGGAGTCAAGTTTACCAAGTAATCTTATGTTTGAATCTCCTTATTTCGCTAATTATATTATAATAAGTTGTGTTACATCTATATTTAGGGTTGCATTTGATTGACGCGCCTTGCATGTGAGAAAGTGTGTTAGAACTTAAATACTATTGTATGTCAACAATTTAAAGTTAGAATTTGACTTAAAAACTAAAGCTGATAGGTAACGGTCTAATGGAACCGTTTAAGCCACAAAAGAACACAAGTCTTGTTTTCTGTAAGCAATTGATCAATAAACGGCATATTTATATTTCATTGTATATTAACAAATCTGTGGTTTTGTACGTGGAAAGCCTCCAAGCACTAAAGAGAGGGTCAAGTTGTGTGAATGATAACCATTATTATAGTTCGTCTTCAATTTACTAGTAAATTGCTTTGAGTTTACCACAATTTAAACAAGTTCACTGTTTTCTTGTTAATTTCGAAATAATGCATCATATGATGAAACAAGGACATTATTGTAGTTATAGCAGTGAAAATGCATTAAATTCTATATATTCATATTGTAGAGCTACAAAAAGTGCATTAAGTTAAGAATGAAAAAGAGCATATATTCAAGGAAACATGCAGTACGTAGGAGCGTTAAACTTATTATGGCCTTTTTTTCTTTTACTACTTTTATAAGTTATGTATGAAATTATACATTGCTCAGGTTTAGTAAGTTCCTCACTTAAGGAAGATTCTTCCTCTTTCATTTTGTAAATATTCAGTGCTCAAACTCCCAAATGGTCAGAGCAGTCCTGAACCCTACTTGTTGACTTTGATTCCGCCACTGATTCTATCATTACTAGATCCAGAAATATTTTTCAAAGCGTTGGATTTTGCGGGAACATATGGAGGTATGGCTTCTGAATGCTACTCCATTTCAGACATAGATTTTAAACTGAAACCATTTCAGATTATTGTTCCATGAGTTCATGTTCGGACCCCATACGCGACATTCCCTACAGATACTCATGAAACATGGCTTACGATTAGTTTGATTTTCCAATTTTCACTTGATTCATAATCAATTATCTGTTAAAGAAGTCTTATTTCAATTGTTGTGTTAGATGTGTTTGCTAGTGTTGGTGTTATTTGGAATTCTTCCTGCTGCAATGTCTTGGTCGGATAGGTATTCCAGTTCTTATAATGGGAGGTGCAGGATGTGTCATTCTTTCTGAACTATTTGAGAAATTTGGGAACTCATCAATGCCATAGAAGATGAAGATGCCTGTGATTTTGCTGCTGTTTAGAATCATTAGAATTGGCTGAAACCCAAATGATCATTGTTCTAATCATAGGTGTTGTACTGTGTTAGCATGTCAAGTTTTTTCTATTGGAATTATAAGCCCTCAAATCAGTTTGAAAAATGTTTATCTAATTTAACATTTATCCATATATATGTATTGTGATTTTAGGGATGGATGAATATTATAAATTAGAGGATACTTTTTCTTTAAAAAAAAAAAAAAAAAAAAAAAATTGGAAATTGACACGAATTCTCAAAAAATATATGCGGGAGCAATTTTAACATTTATCGAAAACAATATATATATATATATATAGCCCAAGGGTTAAAACAAATTTACCACCTTTGAAAACCTCTGAACTTTATTAGTCACAATATTTAATTTAATATCAAAATGCCCATCTTTCTTACACTTCCTAGACCTTACTATTTCCAGACATCAACTCAATTCATTATAAGATGGCCAAGGATTTCCTTAAAAGTGGGAAATGTTATTCAATTCAATTCATTGCTAACTGGGAAATGTTATTCTTCTTTTAATCTGAATGTAGAGTTTCTGGGTTGGTCAAAGCGCCCACTTAAAAGTATCAAACAACGAACCCTTTATTTCCTTCATCTCTAAACTTACATAATCGTCTTCTTCCAAAATTCATAGCCCTACATTTATCAATACTATTTAGATCACCAGGAAAGCTGTAATGGGAAAAAAAATAAAATTTAAAAGTAAATTTTCGCGTGGCTTCTATGTTTAGGATCACACATTTGATGCTTTTATTCTGATTGTGTAGAGTACCCAGAAAAGAAAGAAAAATCAAATTCCGCCTTCATATGCTGCCCAAAATAGTACCCTTTTAACTAGATTTAAAATAATTCCTTAAGGGTGCAATTGGTTAAAGACTGTCGTATTATTGGGAATATTATATTTAAGGGTAAGCATGGGTAGCAGGTAGCATTTGTTTAAAACTCTGCCCAACCCAGTTGGTTGAATCAGAACCTAAAGCGTTCACTGGGTTCGGTTACAAAATTTTCTATTCATTCAAAACCCTAAAAATTAGGGCATTAATTGTGAACAATTGAAGGCTAGAATGTTAAGACTTTTGAAGAGAAACTATCGGTTAGGGCTGCAAAAAAAAAACCAAAAACCGAACCGAATCGAGAAAACGGTTAACCAGTTTCGGTTTCAAAAAATTGCTAAACCGATTTTTCAGTTCGGTTTCTGGTTTATATTATTTATATAACCGGTTAACCGAACCGATTTAATAAACCGGTTTTCCTTATATAATAATATTATTTTAATTTTTAAAAATCTTTTATTATTTTTATTCTTTATTAGTTTGAAACTTTGAATCCCTAACTTCACAGTTTACACATTACACTCATACTCATCTTCTTCTTCTGTAGCCGCCGCTGCCCTCTCATCTCAAAGCTCAAACTCATCTTCTTCTTCATTACATTTACAGATTTACTCGTCTCTCCTCCAGTCCCCTCCGTCCTCTCCTCTCAACTCGCTTGTTTTCTCTATCTTCTTCTTTATGCACGCGCCATGGTGTAACCTTAGCACCGGGGAAGTTGTTTTGGTTTTACGCAACCTATGCTCTTTCCACAGGTGGTACTCATTCCTTCCTCTTGAACCTATTTAGCTGAATGGAAATGCATTTCGAGCATATATTATCATTTAGAATATAATTATACATACCCAATTGGAAGGCTTTGATTTGGGGCCCCAAGGTTGAAGATTGGTGCGTGTAATGCACTAGTTGAAGTAGCATGTGGAAAGGAATGGAGTTGCATTTAAGCTACTGGCTTTTGTAATAACAGAGAAGAGTAAATTTTGTCAGTGTAGGAGCAAGAGAACGTGCAGTATTTGAGGCACATAGATCTGGATCCACTCAAAATACACAGTAGTGGTAGCTGCAGCAATGATGGTTCTCAGCTGTAGTTCTGCTACCATCTGCAACTTGGTAGCCTCAACAAGAGGCGGTGGTTTCGCATTATAGTAAATTTAGAATATGTATAATTTATATTTGTCTTGCATTATTGGTAGTAGGATCATATATTTCATTAAGTAGATATTAAGAATATTTATAAGAAATCTTATAAACTGCGTAAAAAGAGAAGTCTGGATTCTTTGCTTTATTTTTTTATCATGTCATGGACCTCATGTTCAAGAAGACAAATTGAACTCAACTGAACTGCAACATATTTATCATTGAGTTTTTCTAAACTTTGAATCAATTGGTGCAGCCAAAATTTCGTGAAAATAATAGACATTGTCTCTGGAATATTGAAGTTTGGAACACCTGAACAGCAAGCTGCATCTTTAAACGCAGTCAGGGACACCATCCTTGGGATCTTTCTTATTGTTGTTGTTGGGTATGATAATTTCTTGCTTACTCTTGAAATATGAAATATCAGTAAAAGATTTACTTGTCTATTTGCTTCCTAATCTGCTATTTGTTTAAACAATTCTGAGTTAATTTTATGTCTCCCATACAAATACTTTTAGGTGTCAAAAATCATGTCTCCAACAATAAAATATCTTTCCCTTAAGGAAATTCATACTAAATGAGTTTGAATTAGCAGCTTTAATATGTTACTAAAATGAGACTCAGTTGGCTTGAAGCTTAGTATGCAATGTGATTAAAACATATTAGATATGAGACTAGAAAAATGCAAAAGAGAGCACGAAAGAAAACAGAGACAGTATCTCTTATCCTTCTTCATTCTTTCCTCAAAGGAGTTTGTGATGTTACATGCTGGTTAATTAGGCCAATTATTTTTTCAAGAGAGATTGAAGGTTTCTTTTATTTGGCAATATATAATGTCCAATTATTTTTTTATGTCCTCAACTTTTAATAATTTTATTTGGAAATCTTTTTCCAAAATAAAATTAAAATTATATCGGTTTTAATGACAATTAAGGCGGAGCTAGATAAATTTCTTTTTGAAAAATGCAATATTAGCACTTTGATTTTATTACATTTCTTTCCGTGAGTATCATTTGTAATAGGATATCCACCATGTATAATTCAAACTTATAATATTTATATGGATTCCAACATTTGATTAGACTGTTGAGGGTGATTGAACTCAAGAAATAACAATGGCTTCTGTGAAATGTGTTATTATCAGGGGTATGTTGTTTATGTCTTTCATAGCTGGTGGCCTATCATCTTTTGTGACTCTAGTTCAACTCGACATCAACAATTTTAAATTTTGTTGATGAGCATTTATCAAGTTTAGTAGGCGATGGTCAAGCTTGTGTGTTTGCTCTTAATTTTTAGTGCCGTGGTTGGATGAGAGCGGCGTGCCCAGATGCAAGGAGATGTTAGCACTTGCATATCCTGTATTTAAATGAAATTGTCTTTGTTTGCTCTCTTTTTTAAAGAATAAATAAATTAGTTTGGTGAAATTAAGTCACCTCGCTGGCTACCTATAGGGCTATAACAATAAAAGTTAAATGGGTTGAGTACAAATTAGTTAATAACTTTAAGATACCATAAACAGATCCTATGAATCATTCTCTTTATTTAGAAAATATAAAGCTGATATCATATTATTTATGTGTTTATTTTATTTTTCTGCGTGACATTTGCTGAAAAAAAATGCATTCTCTTTATTTAGAAAATTTAAAGCTGATTTCATTCCTCTTGTAGGTGATTCCCTTGTGGTATTCCGTGATTGCACTTGTCCATTTGAAGAATGCTTGAGCCTTAAAGTTGAGGGGAGATGCCTGTTTACACTTTCACTTGTTATTTCTCAATCACTTTTGTACTGACCATTAAAATTAAGGAATAGTTTGTATTATGATAATGTATTGGTGATTATTAGTTATTATGCTTAGATGAGAAGAATTCGTAGCATTAATTGGTGATTAATTGGTTAAATTGTTGTGGATCTTTTGGTTTTTTGGTTTCTTGAAATGGTCATCCAAAAAAGGAATTTTTTATCATAACATATAAAAAAAAACAAAAAAAAAATTATTAATAAAACCGTTAATCGGATTGCAAACCAAAAATTCGGTTCGGTTTGCAAACCGTTAATGCAAAAAACCGGATCGGTTTCGGTTTTGTCATATGGCTTGACAACCACAGTTTGGTACAAAATGCTGAATCCGTTCGGTTAACCGGATTTTTGCAGCCCTACTGTTGGTGAGTGCAATAGTGGCAATAACGTTGATTTCTGGTGAGTGAATCGACTGGAAATCGCAAAACAGTGTTGCCAAAGAAATCCCTCTATCGTCGCAATTGGGGAGGTGAACCGGGGGGGTGAGATGAGTTTTATCAGAGGTTGAGGGTACTTTTTTTGGTGCCATTTGTCGAAAACAGGTCTATTTGTCAACGTCGACGGTAGTGTTTAGAGTGTTTTTGAAAATTTCAAACTTGTAGGGACTTATAGGTAATTTTCACTAATTCTCCATCTAACCCCAATTTTAACTTTTTACTGAAAATATTATTTAAATTAAAAGAACCCTAGGCATCCTCAAATTTTTTTCATTCAATTTTCAATTGGATTAGACCATTCAGCTAATATATATATTTAATGAATAATACTATAATACAAAATTCATAACACATAACTTTCATACAAATGTGACAATAAGAAATAATAGAATTAAGACATTAAAAATTAAAATACATAATAATAAGGTTGTATGATATGTTAATATAAGAATAATAACACTTAACAAAAAAATATAAGAATAATGACAAACACTTTATATGCAAGACTTTATAAGCGTATTGCACATCAAATATTGTTTAAAGCTCTAGAAAGGATCACTTCAAGTAATAGTGACACATCCACACATTAATTACATCTACTCTATTTTCCATATGGTATCATACTTATTTTATATGTTTGTAATTTCATAATTTTAATTTTGGAATTTTGAATTTTGAATTTGTTATTTTCAACAGTTTATTGTAATTTTTAGTTTCCTAAAAGTTAATTAGAGGTGAAAGCTTAT